ACAGCACTCTATCCACTGCACCACCTAACTGCCCTAGGTGCTTAATTAATGCTTGTTAAATAAATGAATGAAGGAAAACTATAGTTTTATATCTCTCCTATCTTTTACTGTCAAACTCCTAAAAGAATAATCTACACTTCCTTCTGTACCATTCACTCACTTCTCAGTCCTTTGTAATCTGGTTTCTGTTCCTGCTACTTGACTAAAACTACTCTCTCCAAGATTACCAGTGATCACTTAAATGCCTGAATCCAGGCATTTTCTCCATCCTCATCCTCCTTGACCTCTCAATAGCCTTTAATCTTACCTACCTTCTCCTCTTACATATTCTCTCTTTGCTTGATCTCCATGACATACCTCTGTACTGATTCTTCTACTTGTCTGACTGCTCAGACTCTTTTGCTGAATCAGCTTCCTCCTTATCATGGATGTTTCCTAGGGTTCTGTCCTGAGTCCTCTTCTTTTCTCTGTGTATACTCTCTTAGATATTTTATCATCTCCATGAGGTTATCATACTCTATAGACTATCATCCATAAGAGATGATACTCTACCCAAGTGACTTCTCAGTCTATATATTCATCCCCAATATCATTCCTGATCTAAAATCACTTATTATCAACTGCCTACAAGATATACCTTCCTGGATGTCTTGTAGAAATTTCAAACTCAAGGCCACAAAATAACTAATTATCTCCACCTCTACTCCCAACCCTATCCCTCCTATACAAACTTATTTCTGTTGAAGGTACCAATCAATAAGCATTTATTTATTAAACTATTAGGTTCTACAAAGCACTGTGCTAAGCACCACCATCTTCTCAATTAACCTGCTTCATCATAATTGCAGACTAATACTTGACTTAATCCTCTTCTCTTATTCCCCATATCCAATTAGGTGCTGTCTTACTAATATATCTCCATGACATATCTTTCATCTTGTCCCTTTCTCTGCAATCACATAAGCACCACCTTAGTTCAAGCTCTCCCTGCCTCTTTCCTAAACAATAGTAGTAGCCTCCTAATTGGAATCATTTCCAGTCTCTCCTCCATGCAATTCATTCTCCACACAATTGCCAAAATAATCTTCCTTGCACAAGTTGTACCATGCTTCTCCCCAGCTCAAAAATTTTCAATGGCTTTCCATTTTCTTTGTATAAAATACAAACAGCCTAGCTTTTAATGCCCTCCACAATCTGTTCGCAGCTGCTTTTCCAGCTAGATTTGATACCGCTCACCTTCATAAACTCTGTTCCAGCTGAACTATCCTACTAGCTGATCCCAGAACTTAATATTACATCTCCTGCCTCCATGCATTCATCCAGGATGTTACCCATGTCTGGAATGCACTTACCCCACATCTCTGCCTCTCTGGTGTCACCTCCACTTTTCATGAAGTCTTTCCTACTCCTACCCCATAGTTGTAAGTGCTCTGTCCTCAGTTTTCTTCTACTCAACACTTACTTGGATACTCAACACTTACTTCTACTCAACACTTACTCCTGATACATTCTCAAGTTGAATGTAAGGTCCATGAGGGCAGGGACCATCTGTTTTTGTCTTTGCATTCCCAGTACCTAATACAGTGCTTTGCGTGCAGTAGTCACTTAAGAAATGTTCACAGAGCACTATCCAGTCGATTTGCAGCTAAACTAGATCAAGTGGGTTGCTCCTCAAAGCTGGCTTCTTACCAAACTTGGATGCCACAACTATGGCAGGCTCTGCTAGTGGACCACTGGGTCCAACTTTTTGAAACTCAGAGGATCGTTCTATAAATAATGCTCATTAGCCTCGGGTCAGGAAAGAATAAACACGTCAGAGACAAATGAAACAAAACACCATGTGTTCAAAGCCACATGGTAACCAGATGCAGAAGTGACTCTATCACTTAGAAGATTTCTACCTTCTCACTAGAGAGCAGAAAGAGAGGTGGAGTGAGTGGGGGTGGAGGAAGGGAGGAACACTAGTGGGAAAATTAGTTCCTCCATTTAAGCCTTTTATATGAATCTACAGTTCTAGCTTACTAGACAAGGTAAAGATATAATAGGGGCTTATCTTAGATTCCCATCAATGACTGTCCTCATTGAGCATTGCCAATTGTCCTCTCATGCTGACATTTTCCAAAAGGTCCATTTTATATACATATCTAATTGTACTTTTTTTCTAGCTGTATTGGGGTAAATGGAATGTTCTCTCAGAGCTATCACTTCTTCCTTTGGCTCTGGAATCAGTCACTTCATATTGTTGCCCATAGTAGGGTGGAGAGAAGAGACAGACTATATTATAAATAATACTGGAGGATGGCAATTTGGGTGAGTAAGAAGATGAACAATACAAAAAAGCATTGTCTCCAAAAACTTGTGAACATAGAAGATAAGAAATAGTAAATAAATAAATTAAATCAGTAACAGGAAAGATTATTGTTGTGAGAAGGTGAAAAGAACCATTCTAAAGGTCTTAAATTTCCTTCCTCAAGAACTTTTAATTACGGACACCCAACTAGTACTACTAGTCAAGACTGCACCAAAAACACTCAAATATCCATTTCACTCTTTTCAATATAGACATAACCTAAATAATCCAATCTAATAATGATCTCTAAGCATTTTTAAAAGGATCTGAGACTCAAAGTAAATAAAAGAACAACTTTGCAATTTGATTTATTCATTCTGTCTGGCTCATTTTCCTAAAGAAAATATGGTATATTTAGGCAAAAGTGAGCATAGGCTTAGAAGTAGGGGATAGGATAATACATTTTAAACATGATTTCTAATATTGGCTGTCTCTATAGTGTGTATGACATGTGCTGAGGCATAGCTATATGCCCAATTCTGCAAAGACACTGAGAAATTATACTAATTTATTTATGTTAAGAATGCAGATTTCATCTGAACACAAGGAAAAACTTCCTAACAGTTAATGAACTGGGTCAGCTTACAGGGTTTAAGTTCCCTTTCACTGAATGTCTTTAAATAGAGGTTAGATAATAACTTTGTCTTGAATTGTACCTGGGATTCATGATTTGATTAGGTATTGGACAAGATAACCTCTGATGTGCTGTTAATAACAGATTTTCTTAAATGTAGAATAGGCCAAAATGGCATGTTTTGTATATTTTGGAATGCGCTAGTGAATGGATTTTGCTTTTTTAAATCTTCTGTTAAATAATAAAGTTACATTTGGAAGATGGTACATTGAGCCAAGTGTGATTTTTAAAAATAATACATGAAAGGACAACTTTAGCTAAGGCCTGAATTTTTACAAACTAAAAGTTAGTATTTTCACAACAATTTTCCCCAAATGCGTATGCTTATAATTATCTTACAGGTGATTAGAGGACAGCCAAGTGCCAGCCTTAAAGAGAATGACAATTCTTTGTGCCTGATTTTTGACAGTGAAATAGTCCAAATGACACCTAAAAGAGTACCTTTCTCAAGTTTTATTATATTTAAATTTTAATTCAATCCCTCATTTAAAAAAAAACCTAGCACCTTCTACAGCCAACATTTCTAGGGTATTTGCCATTTTCTTTTATTAAAGAAAATAAAATTATTATCATTCAGTCCTTACAGATCAAATGCCAAGCTTAAGATGTCCAGATATCCCACTCTGAATAGGAATCTATTTCTCATGTTTTTTCCAGAATTATTTTGTGAAGCTAGAGTTTTCATCCACTTGCTCTCTTTTAAATAGCCTCTCTAGGTTAGAAGTGATGGGGGATGGGTCGAGTTAAGTTTGCAGTCTCCATATTAATTCTGAAATCTTTTTAAGGTATAGTGTCAGTAACAATCCAGTAGTGAAAGGGCCCATTAGGTAAATTTGGCTCTAAGAATGTTAATTGAAAATCCCCTTCACCCATTCAGTCCTTTTCTCTCTGCCTTTCTTCAGTTGCTGGAGTCCCATGGTGACCATCATTGAAAGAAATCATCCTCTTCAGCAGTTACACACTACCATGGCAACTGGTATATCAGCTGAACTGGATAGATGCAAAATACACAGTTAGAGGCTTCCTTCCTACTTTGTAAATCCTACTCTCTATGAGGCCCTACAGAAAAGGACAGAGGCTCATAAATATGCACAAGAACACATCTGTTCATATGTACATATATATAAATACATGGATACAAGAATATGGGCATAAATCTAGATTTATTATCATACCTATCCCCCTATAAAACCTTCCCTGCCTCACAATCCAGGTCAGATATTTTAAAAGTTTCAACAGGAAAATGCAGGGGGGTGGGGGAGTGGATAGGAGTTGGTTGGGGGCAGGGTAGGGGAGGAGTAACCCTTGGTTCAAAGGAAAATGAAGCATATTGTGTTGCATAATCAATCAGTCAATGGGAGGGGATGTCAGAGTCCTAAATATATGTCCTGACTTGTGGTTACATGCAGGACAAAAAACTACATTTTATTTCATCAAATGGTGAAATCAACTAATTTCTTTAATCACCTCTGGGACAGGTGGGACAGTGCTGTCCTTGGTGCTGAAGGTTTTGTCCTTCTTGGGGTTAAGAATGTTCTGAGACAAGAAAAAGGAACATCTTTCCAGCTCTGAAGTCAGAGTAACTATTGTCTTCAATGGCCAGATACAGTCTTCATGGTGATTAGAGAGTAGGATGGAATAATGATAGGGGGAGAAAGTGCTGTTTTCATTCCTAACCTGAAAATCTTAGAAAACCCAGATGAAAACCTGACATGGAAAACAGAAAGGGAATGGGGTGTTTTTGGCATACTAGTAAATGCTTCCTTTTTCATGCTGAGTTTCTTGCCTAGAACCAACCAATCTAGTTCAGATATTTCTGCTGCTTTGTTGCTGAAAGGAAGGGGGTAGGGAGATGGTTAGATTCTTCCACTAAGCCACATGATCGATTTCCCATGTGACACATTCCAGAGCCCTGGAAAGAAAAGGGGAGGGGCGCTAAGAGTGGGGATGGGGGCGGGAGGATGGTTTAGTAGTCAATCCTGCAAAACGTCATCTTGTCTCTATACCAGGAAGCAGGCAATGAGCCAGAGGAAAGGCAGAGAATAGACATGACTGTGCTCCAAAGCTTCTCCCGTGATCTGTGGCTTTTTCTAGACTCTGGTTCAAGGGGAAATACTGGCAAAGAATACCTAAGGAGAAGACATCTGATATCAGGTCATGAGCAAGGTAGGTAATAGGTACCATGCAACAAAAGGATTAAAATCTCTTTCTGACGACACAATGTATTTTTCCCCTCCAGGAAATTTGGAAATAGAAACGTACTTGGGTCCTGGTTAGGGTCTTTTAGACTAGATATTTTATATGAAACATAAAATAAACTTAAAAAGGCTTCTGTTGAGAGCAAATTTGACAGAGATTGTATGGGAAAAGATGATCACTTGCATCCTACAGAAAAGGAAAGAATTAGTTTTCATTGAATCCTAGAAGGTATGCATGTGGGGGAGAGGGAGTAGAATCACATTGATGAAACCTAATTTTGTTCGAAGTAAAATTTAGTATCATCCTTTTATCTACTCATCTATGCTGACATTCTCAGAGAATATTGACAGAGTTTTAGGGTATTTAGGCAAGATATGAGACAGCCTTGTGCCTTGCAATTATTCTTGTCAGGTTTTCACTAATAAGAGGTACTAATAAGATACTTTAGGCCAACTCTGAAAGGAAAATTGGAATGGGAAACATCAGGGTAATGTGACTAAGGAGATCACTTAGTTCTCAGAAGTAGAGAGGCTATTTGCAACAAGAATCTCTTGTAGACAGTAGATCTCACCATTTTTACACAGCACAGAGTGAAATGGAGAATTGGCAATCACCAGGTTATTTCAAATGATATATAGTCAATGTGGCCAATTCAGGATTTATAACAGGTTGATCTGCTAAAAAAAAAAAAAAAAAGAACAAAAAACGCCTACAGCAGCATATAAAATGGATTATGTTCATTGTTAATTACCCCCCAGGGGGCTGCCTACATAGCCCCAGTCACCTAATAATTGACATCTTTTCTTCCCTTTTGTTTGGTGTTCACCTGGCCTGAGAACCTTTTGTGGTACCATGGTAACAAAGTGCCTGAAAAAAGACTAGGAAAAAGAAATACTGAGGCAAGATCACAAGTTTTCTTTATCAATCAAAAAACATTTATGAAGTGTCCGCTATGTGCCAGAAAACATGCTGGGCGCTGGGAATACAGATGCAATAAATGAGACAGACACATGACATTCTAATGGGACTGAGATTCTAATTTCTAATTCTAATGGGAATGAGAATAAATGCATAGAAAAAATATACAGAATTAATAGAAACAAATACAAAATAGTTAAATATTAGGCGGTTGGGGAGGGAGGGCATAGCAGTGGGAGGAAATCAGGAAGGGCTGCATGTAGAAGGTGATATTTGTGCTACATCTTGCAGGAAGAGAGGGATTCCATGAGGGAGAGGGGAGGAGGCTGAGCGCTCTAGGCAGGGAATGCTAGTGCAGAGGCTTGAAGACAGGAGGTGGAGGCTCCTGTGTGAAGAACGAAGAGGTCAGTTTGTCTAAAAAAAAAGAATGTGGGAGGGGAAGAAATGCCCACTAAGGCTGGAAAAATAGGGTTGAGCCAGATTGGGAAGGGCTTTAAAAGTTAAACAGAAGAATTTATATTTTATCTTATTTAATCTTAGTCAATAAGGAACCAATGAAGTAAGAGAGTGACATGATCAGAACTGTATTTAAAGAAAATTACTTTGTCAACAATGTGTAGGATGGACTGGAGTGGTGAGAGACTGGAGGGAGAAAGACCAAGCAAGAAGCTATTGCAATAGTACAGGGGCCAGGGGATGAGAGCCTGAACTAAGGTGGTAGGATTTTCTAGTAGAGAGAAGGGGTTGGATGCAAAAGATGTTTTAAATATAGAAACAGAAAGATTTGACAACTGATTGAATAGGTGAGCTAAGGGAGAGTGAGTTGTTAGGGCAGCTAAATGGATGGAGTTCAGGTCCTGGAGTCAGGAAGTCCTGAGTTTAAATCTTGACTGGCTGTGTGACCCTGGATAAGTCAGTTGACCTTTCTGCTTTGATTTCCTTATCTGTAAAATGGGGATAATAATAGCACTTTATGTCTTTTTGATAGGATCAAATGAGATAATAATTGTATAGCACTTAGCACAGTGTCTGACACATAGTAAGTACTATATAAAAGTTAGTTATTATTACTAATGCTGAGAGGATAGTGGTGCCTAATACAAAAGTTGTGAAGTTTGGAAGAAGAAAGAATTTGGAGGGGTAGGTGGAGATAATGCACTCAATTTGGGATATGTTGAATTTGAGAGTTTCTGGGACATTTAATGCAACCTTTTTGAAAACCATTCCTCATTTAAAGACCAGTTAGCTTAACTAGATCTTTCAGTAAGGGTGCTAGCTTCTATAGTTAAATGGTTTCTAAATCTAAACATATGAAACATATATTAAATCTACTGTTTAGCATTTGGGTTTGTTGTTGATTTAAAAAGATAAACCATTATTATACTTTCAAACCACCCAATATTTCTTTTGATAAACTAAAAGATTTTTATGCTTAAATGATCTAAAGAAAAAGTTTTTGGATGTTTCTCTTTTTTAGCCCTTCTCACCATTCAACCCTTTACATCTGGCTTTTGACCTTCTTCAACTGAAAAGCGACCTCTCCAGAATTCCCAAACAGTTTCTCATTTGCCAAATCCAATGCCTTTTTCTTAATCTTCCTCCTTCTTGACCTCTCTCCATTTGATACTGTTGACTGTCCTTTCTTGGACATTCTCCTCTCTATGTTTATGTAACACTATTTTCTTTCTCTCTCTCTCTCTCTCTCTCTCTCTCTCTCTCTCTCTCTCTCTCTCTCCCTCCCTCCCTCCCTCCCTCCCTCTCTTACTCCCTCCTTTTTCCTCTCCTTTCCCCTTTCCCCTCTCCCCTCCCCTTCCCTCACCTCCCTTTCTCTTCCCTCACTCCCACTGGTTCCCTATTCCCTCCAACATCAAATGCAAACTCTTCTATTTGGCATTTATAGCCCTTTACAACCTGCTCTGACCTACTTTTCCAGACTTTTTACTACATTTAACACATCCCAAGGTCCAGACAATTGGCCTCTTCCTGTTCCTCGTACACAGTATTCTATCCCCTTTCTCTGCATCTTTATACTGGAATGCGCACCCTCCTCAATCCTATCTCTTAGCATCCCCAGTTGTTGCTTTAAAAGCTCAGCCCATGTGCCACCTTCTACAGGAAATCTTTCCTGATCCCCTAGCTGCTAGTGCCTTCCTCTTCCCCCTCTAAAATTTTTAACCTAATATTTATTTTGTATACTGTACATTTTATCCATAATTTTATGAAAATATTGTCTCCCCTGATGGAACATAAGCTTCTTAATTATAAGGACTGTTTCATTTTTGTATTTGTTAAGCTCAGAATCTAACAGGTGCCTGATACATAGTTGGTGTTTAATGAATGTTGGTTGGTTGATTGATTGTTGGTACTGCCACACCCAGACTTTTGTGAGAGACTAAAGCCATCCACCGTCCACCTTGATAAAAGTGGATTTTTCTGATGTCCATAGAAAGAATGATGTGTGTTGGGTTTATGAGGAGCATACTAAGCAAAACAAGTAGATCTACCTATGAAGAGAAAAGGAATAGACCAGATTTCAAGTTATGTGAGATTCTTCACCAGATCAGTTCCAGGATACTGTGCTTCTATCTTTCCTAAAAGGACCCTCACTCTAAAGCAGAAATTCTTACCCTTGTTTGTGCCATAGACTCCTTTGTCAGTCCAATGAAGTCTTCGAACACCTTCTCAGAATAAGTGTATAAAATATGGAGAATTTTGAAAGAAACCAAATATATTGAAATAGTTATCAAATAGTTTTACAAACACACACACACAAGTTCATAGATCCCAGATTATGAATCCTTACTCTAAGGTCTCATTGTCTTCCACCCTGGGCCAAAAACATCCTACTCATTTATTCACTGATTCACCACTAGAGCTTCATTCTCTAGGCTAAAAGATGAAAAATATATAGGTTTAGAACTGAAATGGGCCTCTGACAGCATAAAATCCAACCTCTTCACTTTATAAATGAGAAAACAGGCTTAGAAAAGCTAAGCGACTTGCCCGACAACATACAAGTCATTCTAGAGAGCTGCAACTCTTCAAAGTCTTATCCTTAGTGTGAATGAAGTACTTGACCAAAGGCTCTGATGATTGTACAGGGGACAGGAAAAGGAGATTGGGGACTTGAATATGAGGATAAGTGGACGCTTCGAGGGTAAAAAAAAAATTACACAAAATGTGAAGACAAGTTTGCCTTGCTCATGGTTTTGCCCAAGGACCACCCCGCTGCCCCAGATGAATATCTTTCTCTTTCCCTTTCTATAATTTGTCTCTCAAACGTTTGTCTCATACTTTACTCCAAAAGCTCATCAGTTAATCTGAGAATTTCAGAGTTGTAAGGGGTATCCATGGCCATCTAGTCCAACCCACATCTGAACATGAATTCTCTCTCTCTGTCTCTTTTTTTTTTTGGCAAGGCAATTAGGCTTAAGTGACTTGTCCAGGGTCACACAGCTAGTAAGTGTTATGTGTCTGAGGCTGGATTTGAACTCAGGTCCTCCTGACTCCACGGCCGGTGCTCTATCCACTGCGTCAACTAGCTGCCCCTGAATTCTCTTTATAGCATACTCAAAAAGTGATCATCTAACCGCTACGTGAAGACTTTCAGTGAGGAGGAGCCCATTAAATGCTCTTTGCAATTTCTAGTCATTGCTCTTCTAGTCCTGTCCTCCAGAACCAAACAGAACAATCTGATCTCCCCTTCTATAATACAACCCTTAAAATACTTGAAGAGAGCAATTCAGTCTTCCACTGAGTCTTCTCTAGGCTAAACATCCCCAGTTCCTTCAACTGATATCATATGGCCATTGACACAAGGCTGTTCACCATTCTGGGAACCTCCTTTGGATTGCCTCTAGATTTTCAGTGTCCTTTCAAAATTGTGGTGACCTGAACTGAACACAATCCTTTACATGGAATCAATATGATGTGGTGAAAAGAGAATTAGATTTGGATTCTAGAAGACCTGGACTCAAAATCTCAAGTCTACTACCTACTACAGTTTGGGAAAATCACCTAACTTCTCCGGGCCTCAGTATACTCATCTG